CTATCCAGAATGTATTCCTCATATGCTAGGCCTCTCAAAGCTATTTTAAATCTGTCTTAGTTCATTTTGTATTGCTATAACAGAATACCATAGCTAGGAGGTTTACAAAGAGAATGAACTTCTTTCTTAAATTCTGGAGGCTGGGAAGTCCAAGGTCAAGGGGCCTATACCCAGTGAAAGCTGTCTTGCTGCATCGTCCTATGGTGGAAAGTAGAAGGGAAAGAGAGCTCAAGAGAGAAAAAGAGCAAGAGGCGGCCAAACTCACTTTTATAGCATGCCCACTCTCATAATAAGTAACCCACTCCCAAGAGAATGACATTACTCCATTCATGATGGCAGAGCTGTCATGACATAATCACCTCTTACTAGACTCCACGTCCCAACAGTTGCATTGGGGATTCAGTTTTTAACATATGAACTTTAGGGGACACAGTTAAATCGTAGCAAAAGCTCTCAGCAAGGAAGAGATATGACAAAAATGAAAACAAATTGAGGGATATTATTCAGAATGATTCCAAATAAAGCTAGAGTAAACCAGAGAGAGTAACTGGCTAGAGCATTCATTCCCCCAAACATAATTAACTTTTATAGCCCTTTAGAATTTGCAAACTACTTTGTATACATGTACTTTCATTTTGTCCTCCCAACAAGTTCTAGAATCAGGTTTATTACTTCTATCACCATTTTATAGCTGAGGAACATGATTATATCACACAGGGTTCCAACAGAGAACAGAGGGCACACTTGAGTTAGAGTAATTTAAAGAGGGTTTATTTAAAAGAGATGAGAAGTATAGGGAGCCAGGATCCTACAAATAGTAATTGGGGGAAATCTGTAACCACATCTAGGCCAGGCAGGGTGAGGGTAGCCGGCATTTGCTGGAACCTAGAAGGGAAGTGTTGTGTAGTGATTGCTATGAGATCAGCAGTGACCTTTGGTTGTGAAACATCAACAGCCCAAGGCAACCTCCTCCCAGGGAAGGACCAGGGGTATACATGTCCTGATTTTGTTTTCTTCCCTCCCAACTCCTGCTGGAAGCAACGGGAGGCCAATGGCCCAGAAGTACATTGGTACAGGCCAGACCTTTTCCCCTTCAACATCCTCTATAGCTTTTCATCCACATGAAAAGTGTGCGCCTCCAACACAAGGGACACATGAAGTCCCTTTAGAATGTGTATCATCATGGAGTGATCTTGATTCAATCATATTCCCTCATGAGAACTAAAAAGTTAGCCACTTCTAGTACTCTTTATATATGATATATATAGAAGGAAAAGTTGGGGGAGTGGAAAAAGTTACAAAAAACATAACTTCTACAGGCCATACTTCTTTCTGGTCATGAGGGTTAATTTAGCAATCATAGCACTAGCACCAGCTCCATGGATGTACAACCTGGGCAGTCACACAGGGCTCAATACTTAGAAGTGCTCTGCACTTGGTTGCTGCTCCACTGTGCCTAGTAAATAGACTGACAATAACAAGGAGCCCTACATTTTTATTTTGCATTAGGTTCTTCAAATTATGTAGCTAACATTGCATAACTCTGTTCTCCCAGCACCTATTCAAGTTACCCTTAACCTTTGTCAGGACCTCGCTAGTCTGGGTTCTTTACCTAGAAGGATAGCCCAAACCTTCCTTCCTTCCTTGTCTTTGTTGGGTTCCCAGAGTTTCCAACAGCAGAACATTAGACAAGGAAGTACTAAAAAATGTCTCAGTGAATCTCAATCATGGCAGAGTTATTGACAACCACTTTCCTAAAAAGTATGTACAAGGCCAGTGTGGTGGTTTACACCTGTAATCCCAGCACGAGAGGCCAAGGTGACAGGATCATTTGAGGCCAGGAGTTTGAGACCAGCTGGGCAACAAAGCAAGACCCTGTCTCTACAAAAAAAATCTCCTTCTTGACAAAGTCAAGGAGGTAGAAGAAACCCATTTGTCCCCTTGTAATGAGGATCAATCACTTTGGCCAGAAAAACAACCCCCAATTCTGCTTGTGAGTGCAGCAGTATGTGAAGCCCCACATAGGGTATACTCTTAGGCCAATTGATCAGAACCACGACTGTTTCCCTGATAGAAGCATTCTTCCCTCAGGGACTAGTTTCTTCAAAATCATCCAGCCCAAGGTTGTAGGAACCAGAAGCAAAAATTATTCAAATGAGTAATTAAGGATTGATAATGAAGAAGACTGTTTTGCCCCTGAACCGATAGAGAGATGGTTATGTACAGACTTCTACTATTTGTAACACTATTTGTAGCATATCACATAATTTTGATTCACCTCTCAAGGCAGAGCTATTGACAACTACTTTCCTAAAAAGTATGTAGGAGGCCAGTGTGGTGGTTCACACCTGTAATCCCAGCACGAGAGGCCAAGGTGAGAGGATCATTTGAGGCCAGGAGTTTGAGACCAGCTAGGCAACAAAGCAAGACCCTGTCTCTACAAATAAAAATAAAAATAATAATGTAAAAAAATTTTAAAGTATGTAGGGTAGTGGGTGATACAGTTTGGCTGAGATTTTTTGTGTCCCCACCAAAAATCTCATCTTGAATTGTAATCACCATAATCCCCATGTGTCAAGGGTGGGACTAGGTGGAGGTAATTGGATCATGGGGCAGTTTCCCCATGTTGTTCTCGTGATAATGAGTGAGTCTCATGAGATCTAATGGTTTTATAAGTGTCTGGCATTTTCCCTGCTGGTACTCATTCTCTCTCCTGCTGCTCTGTGAAGAGGTACCTTCTGCCATGATTGTAAATTTCCTGATGCTTCCCCAGCCATGCAGAACTGTGAGTCAATTCAACATCTTTCCTTTATAAATTACCCAGTCTCAGGTATTTCTTCATAGCAGAGAATGGGCTAATACAGTGGGCATAAATTATAACACTGAGAATAAATCAGAAGTTTCTTGGCAAATACACAAAAGTTGCATAACCGTGTTTTGTGCTTTAGGTCTGAGATGTGCTGGAGGCTCCCGTGATCTTTGCTTAGCTCTAAATACACACATAGTAAAAAAAAAAAATCTTCCTAACACCAGAGGGCACTGTGCTACAGGGATACCTCTGCGAGGTTCCCACACTAGCAACTCTGTTACAGCTTCCCCTATGTTCCTGCACCACAGTCAACCTGTTAGAAATGCCTTCTGCTTTTTCTTTTTGCCATCCTTAAATGAGGACTGTTTCTCCCTTGTAATCCCCTCAACAGAATTCCTCTTTTCCCTACCATAACCTGTGTCTCTGGGATTGTATACACAAGTTTCTGAAGCCCTCTGAGGGGTGGGTAATCATGCTGTGATTCTTCCTGTGTATACATGTTAAGTAAATTTGTATGTTTTTTCTATTAATTTACCTCATGTCAGTGATTTTCAGCCAAACTTCAGAGAGCCAAGGGGACCTCTCCTCTTGGCACTTACAATAGTATGTGCTGGTAGTTTCATGTAGTTCTTGGTAGAACTTACTGGTTCAACTTGTTCTTTCACTATGTGTGTATTTACAGCTAAGCAAGTTTACTATATCTATCTATCTATCTATCTATCTATCTATCTATCTATCTATCTATATTTTTTTACTGCTCTGTAGCTGATACCTTGATTTCAGTAACAGTCGTTTTCTTTTCTTTTTTCTTTGAGATGAGGTCTTACTCCATTACCCAGGCTGGAGTGCAGTGGCAAAATCATAGCTCACTACAGACTCAAACTCCTGGACTCAAGCAGTCCTTCGGCCTCAGCCTCCCAAGTAGGTAGGACTGCAGGCGCACACCACCAAACCCAGTTAATTTTTTAATTTTTTAATTTTTTATCTATTTATTTGAGACAGTCTTGCTGTGTTGCCCAGGCTGCAGTACAGTGATGTGATCATAGCTCACTGCAGCCTTGATCTCCCAGGTTCAAGTCATCCCCTCGCCTCAGCCTCATGAATAGCTGGGACTACAGGTGCACATCACCATGCTTGGCTAATATATATATTTTTTTAATTTTTAGTAGACACGAGGTCTCACTATGTTACCCACACTCGTCTTGAACTCCTGAGCTTAAGCTCTCCTCCTACCTTGCAAGTTTACAGTTTTTAAAAAATGTATTTTATCTCCTTGATTGAAAACTTCACGAAAGCACACTTTGTGTATTTTTGCCAGCACCTGGAAGATGTAAACCTATCACACAGCAGATGTTCAATAAATGTCGAGTGTTAAGACAAAACTTGCTTAATTTTTCAATCAAGGTTTGGAAAATTACCTCTTAATTTGTATTATAAAAGAAGTCAAAACCCATTTACTAACTAGACGTAGAAGAAAGTTTATGATGAGACTAGATTATTAGTAGTGCTTGATGTTCCAGGAGTTATATTCAATTTTAATAGGCTTAGATAGACCAAACTAACTCCCCACATTTAAATTAGAATGAGAATCAACGGGATCTACTCTTACCTTCTAATGTAAAACAATTTAATTATGCTCATTAGACACGTTTGCCTGAATTATATCTTAATTTTAACTAAGTATAATGAAAACCAGAGAGCTCAAGATTACTGAGTTTGCTAGATGCAGGTTAACAATTATATGTAACTGCTATGTAACATTGTTTCTAGCAGCTTCTCTTAACCCCTTGTTCCCTGAAGGCAGAGAGTTGTAGAGAACAGAACTGATGTTTAAAAAGAAAAATCCACAAAACGTGGTGATGGAGTACGTACGTGAAGTTGTGCCCATTGAGCTTCTGATTTCAAATAAGTAATTGTTTTAAATTGCCTACTAACATAAATTTTAAAAGCCCAGTCGATTCCAAACACTGACACCTAGGGGTGAAAATCCATGGTTATTTCCTTGGGTGAGCTTTATTGTATTTTTGCGGGCGCTATAGAAATGCTCCCCCAGGCAGTACAGATCAGCAGCGGCTAGCAGTGAAGAATGTTTAAGGAAGGGTTTGTCCCCATCACTACGACTCGGGGCTTGGGGAGCCTGGACTGCCATGAGGAAGGCTCGATTCACCACTACAGACAGGGAGCCAGAGACCTGAGTAGTGCGGAGAAGTCGGCAGTCGCGCCAGGTCAGGAAGCGCCGAAGCCGCAGGAAATCCTGGACTCCATCCCTGGATTTGTTCCAGCGTCGAAGATGGTATCCACGTCGCCGAAAACTTCCCGGAACTTTATGCCAAGACCGACTTATTATCTACGGTGTCCGGGAAGGTCCATGATTGTGCGACATAAAGGCAGAAGGGAGGAAAGCGCAAGCGCATTGGGGACTTGACGCTGAAAAGGGTCGAGACCAAGGTCTGCGGAGAGTAGGCTTGTAGCTCCTGCAGTTGCTCCTCCTCACCCGCCACAACCTGATTTCCTAGAAGGGCTCTGTCATCCAAAAAGATTTTCCATTGGCTTAGAGGAGGGAGGGCCCGTCTTCCCCCGTTATCCATTGGCTGCCCCTTCCGCCGCAAGTTGGGGGCGGGGTTAGGGCGCCTTTCGATTGCATCAGCTGGTCCAGTGGAGGCCAAGTGGCGCAAGCGCAGTGTTCCCGGGCACAAGCCCACCTGCGACCCGCCTCTTTGCTCTTCTCCTCTAGGCCGTCGCTTTCGGGTTCTCTGATCGCTTCGTCGTTCGCCAATGTTTGAGGAGAAAGCCAGCAGTCCTTCAGGGAAGATGGGAGGCGAGGAGAAGCCGGTGAGCAGACCTGGTGGGACCCAGAGACCAGCCTGGGACTCTCGTGGGTGCAGACGCTCCCTCGCGGCGGGGGCAGGGGTCAGGAAGTAGGAAGCGGCCGGTACCGCGTGGGTCGGAGGAGTGGGGGACGGTGGGACTCATGGAAAGTCGGAACCCCCTTTGGGAACCGTCCATTCATAAATTAGGGTGGGGCCTTGCAGTTCATCTCTGGGTCCATTCTCTTTACAGATGAGGAAACAGACCTTGATTGAGCGACTTGTTCAGAGCCTCACATCTACAGTAGTTAGACGCGGAGACAGAATCAGAATCTTAGGCTTGGGGCTTCCAAACTCGGGTTTGTGGCTTACTGTAAGCGGGAAACATATTGCAGAGCCTTATTTAATCAATCTCCTAAGATCCTGCGGGGGTAAAGAGCTCCATTTTGAGGAAAGGAAAACCGAGTCCCTGAGATCTGACCCAACTTGTCCAAGTTTGGGTGGTTAAGTATACATTTTGCCCGGCACTGAGCTGGGCGGTGGAGGTGGGAAGATGAGTAGGGCCCAGTTCCCCGACTTTGAGGGCCTCACAGGCTGATGTGTAAGAGACAGGAAAACAGCCCTAGTGCTTTGTGATCAGCTGTGTGGTATTACAGAAGAGGAAGCTTAGGAGGGCTCTTTCGAATTGAGTTTGGAAGAATGATTTCACCAGGAAAACAGGCAGGACGGGGCTTCCCACATAAAGGTAGGGAAGGCAGTGAAAAGGGGCACGCAGCTGAATTGTCTTTCGGGTTGTTTGCAAGAGATATCCCAGAAGGGTTAAAGGAACAGCAGTCAGAAAGATCTTAGGCAACAAGGATGTTTGATACTTGTATTCTATACATGAAGGATCTTAAGCAGGAAGATTGAATTTGTAAAAGTCACGCTGGCATTGGGGTAGAAGGTGAGGCCACATGCAGAAAACTGTTGTAATAGTCCAAGTGAGAAGTGGTGACATCTTGAGCTAAGGGAGCCTCTATCCCAAGTCTGTGACAGGACAAGTCACTTAAAAGCCAAAACTTTTTCTTGGTTGTCTACTCGGAATTGAATGGAGAAACTGCATATGGGCACATTCTAAACCAAGTAAATTTAATTCTAGATGATAAATGGTGACAATACATAGATTTTTTTTTTTCACATAAAATGGTATTTTTACTGTTTTGTAACTTTTTTTTTTGCTTAATAGGATGTGGTCAACAACTTTCCATGTCCATACATATTCTCCTGTACCATTCTTAATTGGACTTGATATGTATGGTTAACAAATATGTACTTTTTCCTTCCTGTAATAGTTATACAACAGTCAATATTTATTTTGAGTACCAAGTACGGGTTTGGCACTGTATTAATGTATTCCATGAATTAACTCATTCAGTCTTATGTTTTTTGTTTTGTTTTGTTTTGTTTTTTCCCTGTCGCCCAGGCTGGAGTGCAGTCGTTCGATCTAGGCTCACTGCAAGCTCCGCCTCCCGGGTTCACGTGATTCTACTGCCTCAGCCTCCCGAGTAGCTGGGACTACAGAAGCCCGCCACCACGCCCTGCTATTTTTTTTTTTTTTTTTTGTATTTTTAGTAGAGATGGGGTTTCACCGTGTTAGCCAGGATGGTCTGGATGGTCACTTCGACTTCCCAAAGTGCTGGGATTACAGGCCTAAGCCACCGCTCCCGGCCTCATTCAGTCTTCTTAATAACGCTATGAACTGGGTTCTGTTATTATCTCCATTATACAGATGAGAAGGCAGGTATAGGAACAGTAACTTGCTCAAACCAAGTATCCCTTTTTTTCCCCTTTCTCAAACCCAGTATCCTATAGCAAATACTAATAACCCCTGTGCTGTTCTGAGTGAGTCAGGGACAGATCATTCCTGAGAAAGGTAATTCTGTAGCTTCTGTTAACAATCCAGTTCTGTTTGCCAATTTTTGGGTTGAAATTTTAGATTACTTGTATGTAGATGTACATAACATATATACTCAGGGAAATAGAGAACAGTTGCCCACTCTCTTCCCAGTGTTGTAGAAAAGAGGTAATAGGCCTCAGGGTTCCAGAGAGACCTGTCGTAATGTCCCACCTCTACTGCTTAATGATACAAGTGGGCAAGTTGCTTCTTTGAGCCAATGTTCTTGTTTATAAAACGGAGCCGTATTTAGAACCAGAAAAACTTTGTGGTGATTATCTCTCTCTTTCTCTGTCACTACCCCTGTTCGTTTGGCAAATGATCAAAACCCAAATAATCTTATCAGAAATATAAAACTTATTTTATTATCTTTCAACTTTAAACCTGCACACACCTGCAGTTTTCTTTTTACCCAGTGTACTTGATTAGTTACCTCACTTCTACCGTATGACAAAGGATCTGTTGAATCTGAATGAACCTTTAAAGTTTATTAAATCCAGACTCATGGAGTAGGGGGCAAATTTAGCTCAGCATGAAATTAGAAGTCATATTTTAAAACTAGTTTTTTTTAAAATTATACAAGTAACACGTTTTATAGGATTTAAAAGACAATGACCAAAATGTCCATCAACTGATAAATGGATAAGTAAGCAATGGAATATTATTTGATAATAAAAAGGTACAATGACAAGTATTGATACATGTTACAACCTGATGATCTTGAAATTATTATGCTAACTAAAAGAAGCCTGTCACAAAAGACCACGTAATGTGTGATTCTATTTATATGAAATTCCTAGAATAGGCAAATCCATAGAAACAGAAACTAGATTAATGGTTGCCGGGGTCTGGAGTTGAAGGCAACAGGGAGTGAACTGCTAATGGGTACAAGGTTTCTTTTTGAGGGTGATGAAAATACTCTAAAATTGATGGTAGCGATAGTTGCACAACAGTGAATACCTAAAAACCATTGAATTGTATACTTTACATGGGTAACTTGTATGATATATGGATTGTATCTTAAAACTTTAAAAAACTAAAGGTCACAAACATGCAAACTAAATAAAATCCCCCCCTTTACATTCCTGGCACAGGATTTATTACTTTAAAACTTTGTATGACTTCACTTACTTCTAATTGAAGCCTGTATTCCTTACGGTAACTTTTAGTTCTTCTGTGAGCATTAGTCTGTCTTACCTTGTATTACTTTCTAAAACAATCCTTCATTAATCAGCCTGGTTTAGTCATTTTTTTCTCTCTTTAAATTTTAACGTTTCTGACAACAAGTTTATGTGTACACGTAGGACACATTGCCTCTATTCTCAAAATCCACCTGTTGAAATGCATTCCATCCTTTAAAGTTCTTACACTAGTCCTAGCCTATTTGACGTCTAATCATAGCGCTACTACTGTGTTCTTTTCTTCTCCGGGAGTTTCTCACACATGTATGCCTTACTTTCCCTGGAGAGACTAGGTTTACACATGGTAGGGATTGGGCCTTATATTTGCTTCTTCCATGGCTTTTGGTAGCACTGGTGGAATTCATGGGCACACTTTGTATTCAGTTTGTTTGTTTGTTTGTTTTTCCTGGAAATATGCTTACTGAGTCAACTGCATGCTTCCCTGTGGCCATATGTTTGGTATGTGGTCCAAGTAAACCTGAAGCGAGAGTCACGGGAATAGTTAAAATAAAATAAATGAAATTTGAGGAGTTAAACATCGTTAGTAACTCCTTCTTACTTTTTGAAGACTCGTCTTTATTGTAGTTGTTAACCTGTCTTTGCCAGTGATGAAATTGTTCAGTCTTTCAATATCAGATTTCCATTCTTTAAAAATTCAATAACAAATACTAAAATAACATTCTCAACACTTTTGCTGGGGCATCGCAGGGCGGAGGTGTCACATTAGATTAAAATATAAAACGTATTTTGCTTATTTAGATTGATGCTGGTGAAGAGAAGCGAAAGGAAGGAGGCAAAAAGAAGAGCAAAGAAGGATCTGGAGATGGAGGTCGAGCTGAGGTAAAAGTTATTGCAGAGGGCTCTGTTATCAAAGGTTGGCAAATCACAGGGAACTTTCTGAGACTTTCTGAATGTGTAAGGATTCTAATGGTTTACATGGTGTTATAAGATGGTACTGGTTGGAAAAATCAGGAAGAAGAATTAGGAAAGGATAATCTGAGAGGGGAAAAAAGACTTTCAGTCTTTTGTTACTGTAAAAGGAAGCAACTGGCGCATGATTGTATAAGGTGATCTGGATTGTGGGGTTGAATATAAAAATCAGAGAACAAAAGTTGAAGAGGAGACTGGTAATTATTCAGTTGCCAGACGTGATGCTAGCTGTCTGATTATTTCATTAAATGAGATGTTAAGGAATAGAGGCTTGGTGTTTGGGCTTACACTGAATACAACAAAAACCAAAGAAAGCCAGTTTTGTGACCGCCTCCTTGCCCTTTGTATCTGGACCTGCCCTAGGGTTGGCTTCTAAGCCAGGACAGATTCCCCTTAAGGCCTCTCAAGTCTGGAGAAAATGCTTTCCCTTCCCCAGGCTCACACTGAAAGGAACTGGCATATCAAAAGCCAACCTTAAATCAACCTGGTTCCTGAGTATTTTGCTTTTAGAGGCAGTTAAGCTTGTCTTTCTACTATATTTTTACTGCTGTGAACTGTGCTTCACTTTTTGCTTTAGTCATTAGAGCTGTTTTATTGGAGACTCTTTAGAAAGCTACCAGAAGGAAGAAGCACAAAGGAACAGCCTTTTTCGAAGTAGCACAATAAGCTGGCTTTTAAGAGCCACTTTTACAAACGCTGCAATTACTAAATGTATAGTGCCGTCATTTACTTTAGGGTAAGTTTATAGTGTAGTGTTACTTAGAACCCTACCTAACCATTTCTCTTACGGTTGATCAGTTGATCAGTCTTCCAACCATTATACCCCACTGTAATTGTGAAGAAAATTGTTGATTGTGAATTTAAAAATTTGCAAGCAAATAGAAAAATGCGTATATTCCCTAATTTATTTTTTATACTTTCAATACAAACATACATGCTATTCCATCACAGCTTGAGAATTGACCTGGAAATAAGACAAAGAGTATAATTAGAAGACTCTTCTGAACAGAGAATTTGAAGTGGGACATGTGATTATTTATGTTTAACGATTGGTCTGGAAAAAAAGAGTGTACAGTGAACTGTCCAAGACCTTGGCCTTCCCCTCCAAGGGCAACATGCAGGTTTTATTCATCTCTGCAGTCACAGAGCCTGACACAGAGGGTGTCTGCTGAATGAATGTTGAAGAGATTTTGACACGAAATTCTAATTGGGACATGCCAAGTGGCTATGATGATAAACACAGTTAAGATACAGAGGGTAGTGCTGGTGGGGAGGTTTATAATGATGCTTTAGAGTGGATGGAAGCAGGTACTGTGCATTCGTCTGAGGGGTTCAGATTATGGTTGTAGAATGACAGGCTCTGAGCTTTTAGTTAATTCATGGATTCTTCACCATTGAAGATTATGGACCGTTGTGGTAATTTGATGAAAAGCTCCCAAAGAACAACTGAATGACTAAAGAAAGGGAGGGACCCCTGTGGGTGGGAATTTACAAGGATATTAGGGCCTGGTACAGTGGTGGGAGCCAACCATTCGAGACTGAGTGGGAGGATCACTGGAGCCCACGAGTTTGGGGCCGAAATGTGCTGTGAATGTGCCTGTGAATTGTCACTGCACTCCAGCCAGCCTAGGCAACATAGTGAAACCCTGTCGTTAAAGAATGGAAAGAAGGAGGGACGGAAGGAATTACTGGGCAGACAATGATTATCTTTTTCATTTGATATTATTTTCTATTATCTCCAGTCAGTTTTGTTTTGTTTCATTTTGTTTGAGACAGGGTCTCACTCTGTTGCCCAGGCTGGAGTGCAGTGGCCCAATCTTGGCTCACTGCAACCTCCACCTCCCAGGTTCAAGTGATTCTTATGCCTCAGCCCCACAAGTAGCTGGGACTACATGTTGCGCCACCACATCTGGCTAATTTTTGTATTTTTAGTAGAGATAGGATTTCGCCATGTTGGCCAGGGTGGTCTCAAATTCCTGGCCTCAAGTAATCCATCTGCCTTGGCCTCCCTAAGTGCTGGGATTACAGGAATGAGCCTGGTCATTTTCTTAAGGATTAGATATTAGCTTGTACTCCTTTCAAACTGTATGTTGACATATATGGAGATGTTTTGATAGCATTATCAACATTGAACAAATGTTAAAATCTGTATTGCAGTAAGTCATTTTATATCTGATAGATTGAAATTCATTTGAAGATAGAAAGTCATGGCAAAATTAAGCAATCTCCTCTTCACTTTTGTATGCAGTGTTAATGTTCGTGTAATTTCAAGATGATAAATGCTGTAGATGTTAGTTCGACTGTTTTGTAACCACAGATTCATTGCCTTTTTGAAATGTTCCATAAATTATAGTCTCTGACAGTAGAGGAAGTCAGCTCTTTGATTGCTGTCTCTTTTTCTTTCTTTACCAAACCTTTAGAAACCTAAATTGATGTTTTATATAAAATATTTTTGTTAATTTTATCTACTATAGAAAGTAGTAGTATGATGTTTTATTATATTTGCTAATTACATATTTCAGGGTGATCTTGGCATCTTTGAATTCAGTAAATACTTTCCTTGAAGGGGAGACCTTAAGTCAAATACATTTGTGATTGGTTGTGAGTGGACATATAGGCCGACCAGCTACACAGACCATCACCAGGACATGATTAAAACAAAATGGAAAAGCCAGTTTATTGTTTTTATTTCCAGTATTGTTTATAGCTCTATTTGTAAAATAATTTTGTTAGGAAAGATCTTAAGAAGGCATCTTAAAAGAGAAAAGACCACTTGCTGTAAAATAATAGCAAAATGGTAATTGTCAATTCAGCATAACACTAGGGCATTTAGGCCGGCGCGGTGGCTGACGCCTGTAATCCCAGCACTTTGGGAGGCCGAGGCGGGCAGATCACCTGAGGTCAGGAGTTCGAGACCAGCCTGGCCAACATGGTGAAACCCCCTCTCTACTAAAAATATAAAAATTAGCTGGGCGTGGTAGTGCACTCCTGTAATCCCAGCTACTCCTATAATCCCAGCTACTCGGGAGGCTGAGGCAGGAGAATCGCTTGAACCCGGGAGGCGGAAGTTGCAGTGAGCCAAGATCACGCCATTGCACTCCAGGCTGGGGGACAAGAGTGAGACTTTGTCTGAAAAAAAAAAAAAAAAGGGCATTTAATTCCTTCTTTTACCTTCATTTAGGACCAAATTGAGGTAATGCCGGTGATTTTGGCAGTGTGTTTATTTACTACATTGAATCAATAGTCGTGGGTTTCTGTATTGTTTTTACTATTTCTTCCCATTTCTAAATAGGAAAGCAATATTTACTGATTGTTTATTTCCTGATTTGTTGTCTTACAGTTGAATCCTTGGCCTGAATATATTTACACACGTCTTGAGATGTATAATATACTAAAAGCAGAACATGATTCCCTTCTGGCAGAAAAGGCAGAAAAAGATAGCAAGCCAATTAAAGTCACTTTGCCTGATGGTAAACAGGTTGATGCGGAATCTTGGAAAACTACACCATATCAAATTGCCTGTGGAATTAGGTATAAGCTACACCCATCATGACATTCTATAGTTTGTGGCCTAACTAAGCTTCATTTTATTATCCTGCCATGTTTTATTCTTATAATATTTTTATGTTACTATTCAGTGTTTTTAATCTGTTTAATTTGGCCTACTTGGGATTTTTAAAAAATCAGAATGATACAGAGCTATGTAGTCAAAATTCAAAGTTAATTTCTGAAAGAGTTCACTTTGGTCTTGTGGGGCATTGTATATTTTTAGTCTTACTATGATTATAAATGTTACAAAACCGAGTAGACGGTGTTTACCTATTTTGACTTAAATGCCTTAGTTTTGAAGTTAAAAATGAAGCTAGATAATCTCACATGGAAAGGTTAAGAAACTTTATATGACACATGAAAAAAGTGTACTGTTTTTATAAATTCAACGAAGGACTATTCCTAGTCTTAAAACTTTTGTTGGGGTGGGAAGAAGTTATTTCAATTAAGTGAGAATTAGATGCATGTTTTGTAATAGGGGAGAAGTTTTCTTAATCTGATATGATTGGGATCAGTAATTGGTCACTTTATCAAAATAATAATTGGTAAAACATATATATATATGTCTTAAGCCAGATATTGGGAAACTATGGTCATAACCTGTTTGTGTATGTCCTAAAAGCCAAAAACAAAAATAATTCTTACATGTTTTAATAGTTGGAAAAAATAAAACAACTAAAAAGAATATGCAGCAGAAACCATGTTTGGCCTGCAAAGTGTAAAATATTTGTGTGGCCTTTTACAGAAAAAGCTTGCCAATCTTAGTCTTAAATGCTTCAACTTTAAATATGTGACCATATATGTATTCACTAACTTTATATGCCTATATAAAACAGTGAATATATATGTATGGCAAAGCTTTGGGGGATAGCAAGTGCTAATTAGAGTTCTGACATTATCTTAACACATTTGAGAAGTGGTCTGAGCGCAGAATCCTTGCAGATTTTCATGTAGTTGTAGAGTCACACCTAACTTGACAATATTTTTGTGTGTGTGACTTGGATTTATCAAGCCTTCTCAAACATTCAACTTGGTTTTCATAGAAACCATAATTCCCTCATTGTATTATTTTATAATTATGTATTTTTAAGTTTATTTATAATTGTTATGTATTGAAATGAACCCTTTGATCTCACCACATGAATTATCATATGGTTGATTGTCATCAATTTTGTATTGTTGAACCAAACACGTAAAAGAACAAGCACAAAAACAGTTTGGGGAACCAGCATGGCTGATTCTTGGTAAGCCTATTATACAACTAGTAGAAGCAGAACCAGTTAGGCCTATGAGCCATGAGCCTCTACTGTACCACCGACATTGGTTAGTACTTTTTACAAAGTGAACAGAGTATTTCCATTCATTTGACAAGGGCTTCTACCTACAAGTACTTCTACCGTACTCCAAAGGAAGTAAACAGTTGTGATACCATGCAAGTTTCTATGTGAGAGCACAGAGAACTGGATAGACCTTTAAGTATCAGTTAAACCTTTCATTTTAGAGATAATTTTGAAGGTCAGGTTGATTAAGAGATTCTTCTGTTGTCACACAATGAGATTGTAGCTGTGTCGTTAAAATTTAGGCTTCTGTTAGTCTGGGAACCTTTTCCCCTACCTTCTACAATGTTGATCTAGATTATGTTGTAATTTATCAAGTCTTCAGTTGAAAAATATTTTTCAAGAACTATAAAATTCTAAGTTGAATTACATAGCTGGGCACACTGGCTCACAGCTGTAATCCCAGCACTTTGGGAGGCCGAGGCAGGCAGATCACCTGAGGTCGGGAGTTCAAGACCAGCCTGGCCAACATAGTGAAACCCTGTCTCTACTAAAAATACAAAAATTAGCCAGGCGTGGTGGCACACACCTGTAGTTCCAACTACTTGGAGGCTGAGGTGGGAGGATAGCTTGAACCGGGGAGGTGGAGGTTGCAGTGAGTGGAGATTGAGCCACTGCATTCCAGCCTTGGTGACAGAGTGAGACTCCGTCGTGGAGGGAAAAAAAAAAGGTTGAATTACATAAAACATTGATGGGCTTTAGCTCTGGAGTTAAGTCACTGATCTGCACTGAGAATACCTTAGGAAATTTTTACAAAAGTCCAGAATAACTTTTTGTTCTGTGAAAAATTATAACATTGATAACAGGCTATTTAAAGATTCAGATAATTAGTGGTGAATATGAAAGGGAAGGACAAAAAAGACATGTTCCATTTGCGTCAATAGATTTTTCTTTGAAGTTTTGTTTTGTTATAAATCTTTTTTTTTTTTTTTTGAGACAGAGTCTTGCTTTGTCGCCCAGGCTGGAGTGCAGTGGCACAGTCTCGGCTCACTGCAAGCTCCGTCTCCCAGGTTCATGCCATTCTCCTGCCTCAGCCTCCCGAGTAACTGGGACTACAGGCGCCCGCCCCCACGCCCGGCTAATTTTTTGTATTTTTAGTAGAGACGGGGTTTCACCATGTTAGCCAAGATGGTCTCGATCTCCTGACCTCGTGATCTGCCCCCCTCGGCCTTGCAAATTGCTGGGATTACAGGCGTGAGCCACCGCACCCGGCCATTTTGTTGCAAACCTTACAGATTATTTTACCCTTCTTTGAGAAATTGACATGATCCAGTATGGCCCCATGTGTAATCTACATTTTCAAAGTAACTCTATTCTTAGAATCTTGGGGCTCCATTTTGGATCGTAAGATAAAAGTCATATTCTTCCCAAAGAATCTAGAGAATATGAGTAACCTTTTTATCAGTTCTTTAATCTCCTGAAAACTATTTTATACCAATATGATAAAATACATTTCTGTCTGCCAAATTCATGTTATGTTTTGTGAAATGCATGTATTTATTTTATTGGCTCCATCTGATCTCAGGAGGAAAGAAAACATTGTCTATAACCTATGGTAAAGTTAGTAGGAGCATTGAAAATAGAAAAGAGTTTGTTGTTTACCTTCTGTTTGGTTCTTCTTTCTTGATCCTTACATGGGAGAAGTTGTATACATTTGGTTGTAAACCTTTACACATAGAGAACCACCAACACAGCAAGCCCAGCTAGCTTAAAGCCTTCTAGTGGTAGGTTTCTTTGAGATTTACAGTGTAAAAGGTGTATACTTTTTCTTCACAGCTTAGAATGTTGCTTACCTTCGTTGAGATGTCCAGGCTGTTATAGACTATTATTTCTCTAGCTGTGCATTTAGATGTATAATCTGGCTCACCTTACTCTACTCTACTCTAGTCACACAGCTTCCTGCATAAACCTTTCTTAACTTGCGCCTCTGCTTGCGTCTGTGGCCATTCCCTCATCTGGAATGCCATGGCCCCCCCGCTTTCTTCCTGTGAGTGCTTTATCCTCAAAGCCTTTCCAGATGATTCTGTCCTGTGCTGCTTTGCCTCCTCAGAACTCCTGTGGCTTTTACACTCTGTGTGCTCTGATATTTCATCATTTGATACTTTATGTTTGATATTGTATATTGGGTGTGTAATATTTTTACTCACATTATGAAAAGTTTTATTAAATAGTCTTTCATTTTACCTCTATATTATAAATATTATCATCTTAGGCATTTGCAGAATTTATTCTGAGGTTAGCATTGTCTGTCAAAGTAAGGAACCGGTGTACATTTTAAGCAAGAAGAGGAACAGAGAAGTTATTTAGTAGGCCTTTCCCCCGCCCTCCCCCTTTGGAGTCTAAATAGCTTACCTTTGTAGAAAGAGAAAGGTGGGTGTATTAAGAGAAAGCTGGGTGTGGTGACTTGTGCCAGTTGTCCCAGCTACTCTGGAGGCTGATGTTGGAGGATTGCTTGAGGCCAGGAGGCCAGCTGGGGAAACATAGTAAGACCCTGTCTCTAAACAATTAAAAAAAAAAAAAACTTATTTATTGGAGAAATTAAGATTAATCAAACCATTGGCAATTGATCGTGCTTATTTATCAGAGTTGCCATATCTGCTTAAACAGGAGGCATTCACTGTCAAATGATAGTGTTCTGCATTTTCAGGATCTTCCAGTTACATTCTTAGGTACATTTTTGGAGTTTGTTGTTTTTATTGTTATATTTCAGAAAAATAGAGATACATCAATAAAAGAATCAGTACATAATAAAAATAGTGTTTATTTTCCTGTTTTCAAATTAGATTATTGTGTTCTTATATATGTATGGACATTTATTTTCTTTTAAGTCAAGGCCTGGCCGACAACACCGTTATTGCTAAAGTAAATAATGTTGTGTGGGACCTGGACCGCCCTCTGGAAGAAGATTGTACCTTGGAGCTTCTCAAATTTGAGGATGAGGAGGCTCAGGCAGTAAGTAGCTGATTTAGTATTCATTGAATTTTAGGATGCAGATTAATGTTTGCATCAGTTCAGTCCTGCTGCGATTGGGTGGCAAACAGTTATTGTTGTCTCATTGTCATATTTGAAATCTTCATTTTGTCCTTCATTTAGAGAACAGAATAAAAGTGCTTGCCTTAGAAAATAAAGAGGTGAAGCTGAATAAGTCTTTTCATTACTAGACACTTCAATAGGGAAAATGTTTTGGGAATTTTATTAAACATTGATTAAACAAGTAAAAATTGTTTTCTAAACTGTGAACACTATTTTATTTAATTTTAATTTTAATTTTTTTTTAAATGATTGAGTCTCGCTCTGTCGCCCAGACTGGAGTGCAGTGGTGCGCTCTCGGCTCACTGCAACCTCTGCCACCCAGGTTCAAGCGATTCTCCTGCCTCAGCCTCCCGAGTAGCTGGGATTATAGGAGCATGCTACCACGGTTGGCTAATTTTTGTATTTTTACTAAAGATGGGGTTTTGCCATGTTGGCCAGGCTAGTCTCGAACTCCTGACCTCAAGTGATCTACCCACCTCAGCTTCCCAAAGTGCTGGGATTATAGGTGTGAGCCACTGCGCCTGGCCTCTAAGCTATGAACATTTTGGCAAGATACATACATTTGACAAATAAATTTGAACCTTACTTCAAAGCACTCCCTTTATTGGACAATTTCTGTATTTTTTTCTGTATCTTTTTTGTCTTAAGATGCAAATCTGCTGGATAACACTATAAAAGTCAACCTGCATTTGATGACAAGATTTTCTTTTTAATTCTTCGTGGCTGTGTATCATATAAGGGGAAACAAAGTATTTTGTTTTAGTGATGATTGTTCACTTATGTATGTGGATTAGTGGTTTTCAAATGTATTTTGGAGTCCTCAAGTTTCTTATGAGAATTTTTTAATGTCACTTTGGTACCTTAATACTAAATCTTGAAAACATTGCTTTGGGTGTATTCTGACTCATCCCAGTGATTACTTTAAAACCAAGTACTGCCATTTGGTTTCAGTGTACAGATGTTTGTCTTTATGTTTTGTCATTGTGTTGTGGGGTCGGGTTGTACCACCTTTGTTTTGGGCCAATAACAACATGTAATTTCTAAGTGATGTTCCATAGCCAGCTAAAGACCAGATCACAGTGTCTGAGACATGGTGCTGTGGGCACATTGACTCAGTAGAACCTGGGCCATTGCAGTCAATGAGATAGTCACGTTGTGAGAGCAATTGTTTTCAGAGAGCAAAATCAATGCTATTTAATTAGTGATGGCAAGTTTAGTTTCATTTGTTTGAAAACAGCTAAACCAGATGATTTCCAAAATAAAAATACACTTTAGTAATTGGAAGCCTTTTGAATTACTTTGGCTATGGATAGAAACACACAGTAGTTTATAGATTTAGAAATTTAGGATTTTATATATTGGGTTTACTTGTAATAAATATTATGTCTCTTTCAGACAATCACATTAATTGACAACTTGTATGCCAAGACTCAGACCATGCCATTTTTCTTTAAATTTTCAGGTGTATTGGCACTCCAGTGCTCACATAATGGGTGAAGCCATGGAAAGAGTCTATGGTGGATGTTTGTGTTATGGGCCGCCAATAGAAAATGGATTCTATTATGACATGTACCTCGAGGAAGGGTAAGCTGTCAACTAGATAAAGAAAACTGAAGTCAGTGACTATGGATCCATAAGTTATTTTTAGAGTTGTCAGTAAAGGAGAAATGTTATAGCTCTCGCTGCTTCTTCATCACGTATGCCCATTATCAGTACTTGAAATGTTGCATTTTCCTTGAAGTAATAATGAGACCTCTATTATAGATTGATGGAGGTAGAGTCCTAAGGTGTTTTGGGAAATTCAGGGAGACTGGTCCTCCCCTCTCCTTTAAAACCTGGTGATAGAGTTGTGGGAAGGGGTCACTAGTGAGAAAGGTCTCCATGGATGACCAAGGTAGAAGCCACTGAAAATATAAAATGTAAAAATTACTTATGAAAAATGTTTTGTTTAGAATTCTAAGATATGATGCAATAGTCTAATTTTTTGATATTAAAACCCTTGAAGTATTCCAAATATTTTTTCCAAATAAACATTTTTTGAAGCCATGATGTGATTCAAATGGAATGAAAAGATTATACTTTCTTCTCCTTCAGGGGTGTGTCTAGCAATGATTTCTCTTCTCTGGAGTCTTTATGTAAGAAAATCATTAAAGAAAAACAAGCTTTTGAAAGACTGGAAGTTAAGAAAGAAACTTTACTGGCAATGTTTAAGGTAAATTGAACCATAATGTGTGGCCCCCACCGTTAATATCATTTATCCATGTTAGTTGAAGTGACAGCACTGGAGTTCAGTGTACTAAGCTGAAGCGTATTTGGTTCTTTAGAAAACATTAAGTATTCTTATTATTTTTATTTCACTTTTTTCCCTAGCAAACCATTCCTTCAACACATTTTTAAAACATGAAATATCAACATTTATATTCATACAGTGCTACATTTTACCTATAGTACTTAGAAGTAAAAATTAAAGGACAGTCTTTTAAAAGAATAATTTTTCCTGTTTTCAGTACAACAAGTTCAAATGTCGGATATTGAATGAAAAGGTGAATACTCCAACTACCACAGTCTATAGGTGAGAATATTAGATGTCATTAAATGTATCTGGTATGTATGTCATTTTGTGTTTGTTAAAACTCCTTTCATTTTATGTTTAGGTGTGGCCCTTTGATAGATCTCTGCCGGGGTCCTCATGTCAGACACACGGGCAAAATTAAGGCTTTAAAAATACACAAAGTAAGCAATGTAACTTTAAAGACTATGTGAGTGTATCTGTCTAGAATAGATATGTGTTTAAACTTTCCCTGATTTCTCTTTACCATTTTCTGCTGCACATGAAGCGATGTTTTCTCATGCTGTCTATTGACTGGGAGCTGTATGCCATCAGGTTTTTATAATTGAAATCCCTCAAGGGGTGACTGACTTGCTGTCATTACCAGAGCAAGCCCAGGGGATAGAGGTTTTACAAAATCATACAGCATGGGCCATCCTGGCTCTATAAAAGCTTTGAGACTCACTAGGAGTATGTGCTTTTGCCCTTTGTATGTCTAAATTAATAATTTCCCAAGTTGTTCTTTTTAACAGAACCCAGTTTTATACTATTTCATAAACATTTTGTGGAGGTTATTAAAATGCACTTTAAATCAAGAGAATAATTGAGTCATTTCAAGATTTTTTTTATTGGCTCATTTCTATTTTTGCTCAATCGTTTTGTGAGAAATGCCTTTGCAGGCAAAGTAATGTTTGTGGAATTGTGGTTAAGTATTGAGGGGTGGGCAGTTTTGGGGGTGTTGGGGTGTAGAATGGGTCTCACTGTGTTACCCCAAAAAGACAGCGTAGAGGACCACTTGAGCCTGGGAAATGAGGTTGCAGTGAGCGGAGATTGTGCCACTGCACTCCAGGCTCAAGCGGTCCTCCCACCTCAGCCTCCTGAGTAGCTGCGACCATAAGCGCATACCACCATGCCTGGGTAATTTTCCTTTTTTTTTTTTTTTTGTAAAGAACAGGGTCTCCCTGTGTTGCCGAGGCTGGTCTCGAACACCTGGGCTCAAGCGATCCTCCTGCCTCTGCTTCACAGAGTGCTGGGATTATAGGCGTGAGCCACTGCACCCACCTGCAGATTGAGGGAGGGGCATTTTCGAGGGAAGTAAACAGCCGACTTTGTGCTGCAGAATGAGTACTCTAACAAGGCCTCAAAGCAATTGGGAGTTAAAATAAGTGAGATGTTTACAAATTTGAATGTTGTTTCATGGTTAATCCTTGTTTTCAGAATTCTTCCACATACTGGGAAGGCAAAGCAGATATGGAGACTCTGCAGAGAATTTATGGCATTTCATTCCCAGATCCTAAAATGTTGAAAGAGTGGGAGAAGTTCCAAGAGGAAGCTAAAAACCGAGATCATAGGAAAATTGGCAGGGTATGTTCAAGAACAATGATGTGTCTAGACTGAGTTTTTTTGAACTTCATTTGAAGTTTGAAATTTAGCTGTATGAAGTACTAGGAATTTTGTTTTGAAGAGATGCTGTAGCTTTTTAGTAACTGGTGCTATGTCCTGTACGAACTATAAATACTTGCTGATTGTCCACATTATCTGCCTGGAGTGGGCTCAGTACCACACAAAAATTGCATTTGAACTACTTTTATTCAGAACAAACGCTGATGACCTACAGTTTTCTGTAAAAGAAGTATAACAGCTTCTCGTAGAGCTGGGAGAACTAGACTTTGGAAACTGTCTAGTCTCACTGACTCATTTAAAATGTGGAAACAGAGTCCCACAAAGATTAACCTACTTGTTGCCCAAGGTAACACAGCATGTCACACATAGATCCTGTGCTGTCATTTCCTCTACCCATTATCTCTGTTACTGCTGAATGTCCTCTAAACTGGAAGTTAGGCTAGATAAAACTTTCCTCCCTAAAATAGGCACTCCGTGCCAGGGGTCCTTGGCTGTTAGGTTATGAAGCTTGAGCTGAAGCTAGCAGCCAGTGCCTTGCACCCCTGACTACCTGACATTCCAGCCATGAGGCAGCCAGCAACGATTGGTGGGCCCTTCCCTGAGGGCTTTTGGGCACTTGGTGAGGGGGATGTCGGGCAAGGAGGTAGGAGGGTGTGTTTCTTTCACCGTGACCCAAAGTCAGCCAACTTTACCATCATCTATTTCATTATCCCAGTCTCCTTCCTGACACTCCTATTAAGAAAATAAATAAATAAAATGAAAAAACTTTCAGATCTTGGAGCTTTAAGGAATTAAGAACTATAAGAGGTACTGCAGTGGATAGAGAACTGAGGGACCCTTCTTCCCTGCCACTGTTGGGGAAACTTGACTGGATTGAGGAATATAACAAGCAGGGCATGTGTTACACGTCTGCCAAATTGTAGATCAGCTGCAATTCTGTACCACCAGAAACACTGACGTGGTTTCTTTGATTCAGGGTTGGCACTGATTGAAATATGGGACATCATGACCATATTCTGAGCTCAAGAACACTGAAATTCATGTATATATACACACACATATACATGACGTACATAAATATTCTTTTGCTTTTCTTTTACCCAGGACCAAGAACTATATTTCTTTCATGAACTCAGCCCTGGAAGTTGCTTTTTTCTGCCAAAGGGAGCCTACATTTATAATGCACTTATTGAATTCATTAGGGTAAGTCATATTTATTGCTTTCTTCTTTAGATTTAGGGTATATGATCATTTTTATTAAATAAGGTCTACTAAAAAGAAAGATAGTCTCTATTTGAGAAGAAATATATAAAACAATAAGTAAAAGTGGAAGTCTGTGGCCTCATAAATCATCCCTAGTAGTTGATTTTGCCCATATACATATGGAAGCTGGTGAGCTTGAAGGGGCACCCGTGGTCCTTGACACAGGAGCTCTGTGCCCTCTTTGACTTTGATCATTGATTTCTATTTTCTTTGAAAAAACGGTTTTTACATTGCTTTTTTTCTTTGTAAATTATGAAATGTTTCAAGTATAACTTTATAGAGAATAGTATATCCAATATCTTGTGTACTTACTACCCAAATTTAACAAAGATTCATTTTGAACTATATTTGCTTGAGATTTTTTTGTTCACGATATTTTAAAAAAAAATAGTTGTTTAAAAAGCCTCTCTTTAGGACCCAGTTTTGATCCATATACCTCCATATACTACTATAGATACCCATATACTGGTATACCATATACCAGCTTTCTAGAAGAAACTACTGTTTTGAAGTTGGCATGGATTCTTTTTGTCCATGTTATTTACATCTAGCCTGTGTATGTGTACCCTTAAATTATTTATGTATTTATGTGTTACATATAGGAAGCCTCATTGTGTATCAGACTGCCTTGTGATTTATTTTTAGAGACATACAAATCCAGTTTATTTTCATGTGCTACATGTTATTTTGTTATGTAACTACCACAATGTGCTCAACCCTTTTCTGATGGACACTGATGTATAATTGTCCCTTATTATCAGCCATGCTGCAGTAGCATTGCTTTTATAAGCCTCCTTATGTACATGTGCCAAGAGTTTTCTCTTTGGTATATACTTAGAAGTGAGATTTCTCAATCATGGCATGTGTGCATCTTTCTCATGAGAGAGTATAAAATCTCTCTTTTAAGTTTTTACTCCCACTTGAAGTATGAGCATTTATTTGCCTACACGTTTCTGTTTATTTTCTATCAGAGTGAATATAGGAAAAGAGGATTCCAGGAGGTAGTCACCCCAAACATTTTCAACAGCCGACTCTGGATGACCTCGGGTCACTGGCAGCACTACAGCGAGAACATGTTCTCCTTTGAGGTGGAGAAGGAGCTGTTTGCTTTGAAACCCATGAACTGCCCAGGGCACTGGTAATTGGCAGCTTTGAATTTCTACTGAAGATTTTCACATGCTACAATTCATCCTGGGTTCTTCTCTCCTTTAACAACATTTTCATTAAAAACAAATTATGTGATCAGAAGAGCATTTAAAAGCAACATCATTGTTGTATCACATCTTCTGTGCCTCATTAGATCCCCAGATCTATTTTTTTTTTTTTTAAGAGGTCTTCCAACTGGAGTGCTGGTACTGCAGGCATATGCCACCATGCCCAACTGATTTTTAAAATTTTATTTCTGTAGAGATGAGGTCTTGCTATGTTGCTCAGCCTGGTCTCAAACTCCTGGCCTCAAGCTATCCTTCCACCTTGGCTTCCCAAAGCTCTGGGATTACAGGCATGAGCCACTGTGTCCCGCCAGATCTCCAGATCTATGGGCATTCAGTAATGGTACTGGGATCACAGCAGTGACCAAGGCAGAATATAAAAGAGGAAGATGGAATATGGGGGTGTAACAAATTATCTAGTGTGTTGTTGTTTTTAAAGAAACTTGTTCTGTCAAAACCTGCTAATGACTCAGCATTCTTGGAAAATGTTCCTTGCATGAGGCCGCTCTGCTTTCTATCTTTGAAAGCTGGGTGAAGAACAGCTTAAGGGAAGACACAGGAGAGCTGTGGATACAGGTAACTCAGTGTCCACAGCAACTATTAGCCAGGCATGGAGGGCAGAGGAGGTGAGAGAAGAATCTTTGTGAAGAAGCTGTATTATAGGCCAGGAAATCAACTAAGTTCCTTCTTAATTTTCCCAGATTCTTCAGTTGTTGGAATACATTTTTTATTCTTCACTGTGGTTCATTGAATTATAACTTATTTGCTATTTTATTCATGCAGATGCTTTTACTGCTGTATGAAGCCCAGAATTTGAGAAATGTTGCTTGGATGGACAGCTAGAATCAGTGGCTGTTTGACAACATTTCATATAATTAAATATAACATTACACAAGCAGTTTTATTCTTAGGTGTCCGTGGACTTTTCTTTTTCTCTTCAGCCTTATGTTTGATCATCGGCCAAGGTCCTGGCGAGAACTGCCTTTGCGGCTAGCTGATTTTGGGGTACTTCATAGGAATGAGCTGTCTGGAGCACTCACAGGACTCACCCGGGTACGAAGATTCCAGCAGGATGATGCTCACATATTCTGTGCCATGGAGCAGGTATGAGACCCTGGGGAATAAAATACTTTGAAAGAAGTGTCAAGAAACTCAAGGAAAATAACTACTGTTTCTTTTTTCTTTTTTTTTAATTTAAAGATTGAAGATGAAATAAAAGGTTGTTTGGATTTTCTACGTACGGTATATAGCGTATTTGGATTTTCTTTTAAACTGAACCTTTCTACTCGCCCGGAAAAATTCCTTGGAGATATTGAAGTATGGGACCAAGCTGAGAAAGTAAGTGGTATTTTTCAGCATGCTTTTGAATACTGTTTGAAATTGGCTTGTTCCGAGATGTAAGAAAGCCAAGCCTCTTTAAATGGATAAAAGGAAATTGGAAATGGTTCCTAGGTTTGAGTAAGCTAGTTTTTTTCTTTGTGTATTTTAGGAATGGTTGAATTTAATGGCTTTTTTCAGTTATCAAGCTATAAGCTTTAAAAAGGGGTTGATGTGAGCATATGTTCAGGTGGACAAAATTCTAAAGCAGAGAATATTGATCTATGAAAGTAATTACTGTATTTTTAGTCTCAGGCTGGAAGAAGGGAAATTGCAATTAAAAAAAATTTTTTTTGCTTTATCCTCAGCAACTTGAAAACAGTCTGAATGAATTTGGTGAAAAGTGGGAGTTAAACTCTGGAGACGGAGCTTTCTATGGTCCAAAGGTGAGCACTGAAGTGTATTTGGATAATATGATTTTCACTTGTGGATGAAGAAGATATGGCTTCGAAAGAAGTTGGGAAAAAGAAAAATCAGCCCTAATCCAACTATTGAACTCCACGTTAGTATCACTGGCATTTTATAATAACCCAGTCTTTGCCTCTTAGATTGACATACAGATTAAAGATGCGATTGGGCGGTACCACCAGTGTGCGACCATCCAGCTGGATTTTCAGTTGCCCATCAGGTTTAATCTTACTTATGTAAGGTGAGTTTCTGGTGTCTGCTCTGAATATTCTCCAGGGATATATAGGGGAAAATATATATATATGATAAGGCAAAACAAATTCTTTTTCTTTGTAGCCACGATGGTGATGATAAGAAAAGGCCAGTGATTGTTCATCGAGCCATCTTGGGGTCAGTGGAAAGAATGATTGCTATCCTCACGGAAAACTATGGGGGCAAATGGTAATTTTTGTCTTTTTTTTTTTTTTCTGATTAGTATAAATTGGCTACAAGAAATGTCTACTTTTTGATTTAATTATCAGATGGAAAGGGAGAATGATTGCAGTCAGTTGCTTCTAACTAATGACAAGTGTTCAGTAAAAAATAAGGAATCATAATCTAAACGCAAACTTTTTATGCTAGTAGTAATTAATTCCAGAACTTGATTTGTTTGAATGTTGTGTAATACTTTCTAATTATGAATTAGTATTCTGTTAAGAAGTATACTTATTGTTTTGGATGCTTTTCTGGTAACTTTGTTTTGGGATTTAGATGGCTTTGCTGGGTTTTACGTAGATAAATGAGGAAGCTTATGGCTTTTTTCGTTCAGCCTTGCTAATCATAACAAGCAAGTATTTTGACATCTTTTAAAAGCCAAGCGTTTTTTAAAACAGATGCCAAACTAATCAACATTTTGTGATTCGTTTCTATGAGGTTACGTTTTTGTTGGCAAGATACGTGGCCACATAACTTTCATCTTACTTCTTAAGCAGTTTTTTTCTGGACCCACAATGCATTTGAAAGCAGCACAGGGTTATAAAAGCACCCATGTGTAGAGCCTTCCATATTAATCTCATTGATTTAACACATTTGTAGAATGATGTACATTGGTTTAATCTTACATTACTGTTATTTCAGTTTTATTTGAACTTGGTTACTTCAGAAATTAGAACAGTTTTTCATACTGGTCAATGATATAATCTCTTTAGATTTTTCAAAGTCAGATAAAATGTGAGACACATGCTCTCTAAGGTACTTCAAGAATTAAGGGAGTCCTCAGCTAATTGTTCTGCTAAACTTGTTGTAGGTGGGGAAAAGTCCATGATTAGGGTAGAATTTAGTGCCTACTTTAGCCTTTTGCCTGATGTTTGCCTGATATAACAGAACAACTGAAAATAGAGGAATGATGGAGAGAAACATTAGCCTGATGTTTGCAGCATCAGAAGCATTTGACACTTGAATTGCTTCAAAGGGAGAATTGGATGGGCTTATTTTTTAATAAGTAGTGAAAACTCTCATTTTTACCAAGTGCCATAACCAGTTATTATCAGTTACAATTTGCTGAGTGGTGCAAAATGGATTTTGAATAAACTGAGGACACTGTGTCCCCATGAAGAATAAGTAATAAAATACTCGAACAATTAATCACTACATGCAGTTATTAAATAATTTGTTACCCCCTCTCACAGTGTTTTGTGATGTATTAAAGTGTGAGGCATAGTCCTATCCTCAACTGGTTTTGCTATCTGCTTAGCAAGACAAATCGTAGTTACAGACTTTCCTTATGTAGGGTTAGTTTTCTTCTCCTGCATCTCCTCGCCTTAATCTTTATTGGATAGGATTTTTCATTTTGGGGTTTTTTAAGCCAAGTTTTAAAAGTAGTCCTTACATGTTCCAGGAAAAGATACTGAAGAGTAGACTAAGAAATATGCTGTCCCTGTTTAGTGAATGTGCCCACATCTACACTGAGTATTTTTATTCTCTTTCAAAGGCCCTTTTGGCTGTCCCCTCGCCAGGTAATGGTAGTTCCAGTGGGACCAACCTGTGATGAATATGCCCAAAAGGTAAGCCTTAGATGTGAATTTTCTTTCAACTTAATATCTGTTAAGCTTTTCAGATCACGTAAGCCCTATATTCTTGGTGAATCGAGCTGTTGTGATGTAGAGAAATGTTACTATTTTTAATCTTTGTTAAGCCTGAATAGATTATATTTCTTCTGTAATGCTTTTCTACATGATTCCATAATCAGAAGACATATTTGGATAGTGTTTTAGGTACACTTGTATATTTTATTGTATTCGTTTTAAGAGATGGGATCTTCCTCTTGCCCCAGCTGGAGTGCAGTGGTACAATGCCTGGCTCACTGTAACCTCAAACTCCTGGGCTCATGCAGTCCTCGCACCTCGGCCTCCCAAGTAGCAGTGACTACAGGCAGGAGCCGCCATACCCAGTTACGCTTGTATATTTTAGTATTTAGTATTTTAAAAAACCAAATTAGCAAATATCAGGTACTTCAGTATGATAGGTAAATTCCAGTTCAAAATACAGTTGAAGCTGCTCTTTGACTCAAAGAGTAATTTTGCTTCATTTTAATGTAAATTTCTTCAGCTATTTGAAACTTTTTTCCAGGTTAGTAGCATAGCAGACCAGTGTCTTGCCCCTACCCCCAAAAAATGTAACCAACAAATGTATAACGATTCATAACTTCACTTTAAAGCATATAACAATCTGTTCTGCCGTAGTGAAAATTCCATACTAAGGAATTTCAAATTATTAAAAGTTGATCAGTGAACAATACTATAACATCAAAGCCATCCTGTCTCCATACCATCAGAATAAACCACACTCAGGTCTTAATTACCCTTAAGAAATAAATGAACTTGAGCGTGGAGATGCATACCTGTAGTCCCAGCTACTTGGGGGCTTGAGGCAGGAGGATCTTTGAGGGTTCAGGGTGTGATGATTGTGCTTGTGAGTAGCCACTGCATTCCAGCCTGAGCAACATAGTGAGACCCCATCTCTTAAAAAAAAAAAATGAAGTGAACACTAAACCATCTAGTAGATAAACCATTCAGACTATTCCTATTACTATTACTGCACACAGTAGTTTTAGTTACAAATGATGAGAATCAAAGTTAATGTTCTATGGTTGAGTGCACTTTGTCTTATTTGTATGTGAAAGCTCACACAGTAGGAAAAAGTTCTGTATTGGTTAACTGAGTTCTCAACTGGAGACATCACTGACTTCCCCACTTCCCTTTGGGGGTAGGGTGATATTCCAGATTACGTGGTGGTAAGTTTTTCGTTTGTGGGGAGAGAAGACAGGGCAGTACTCCCGATACCTAATAACTGTAGAGTAGACATGTTAAACACCCTGTAATTATCAGGCCACTTCCCCAACTGCAGAATTGCCCATCTCACAGGCACACACAGGACCCATGTTGAGAAAAATGAAAAAAACTGATGCTTTATTCTTTAAAGTAGTTATCAGTTGAAGATGTAGACCTATCTTGGCATTCTAAAATTCTGTAATGACCCTTCTGAAATGGGTGTTACAAAATTTCAACAGGTTAATTGGTTTGTGATCACTATGGCTTAAAAATCTACTAGTTAATATGCTAAAGCTTGTGCACAGTATAGGCAAAGTCACCTAGATTGTTTCAAAAAGTATACCTTATAGAAATAAACATTTGACATACATAAATAACCCTTGGTTTACACATAACTCGCATTTGAGAAATGAATGTGTTGTAGATCATTTAGAATCCTTTTCAATCAAAAATTGAAAGAAATATTTTGTCACCTAGGTCAACCGGAGAATGCTGGTTTTACTGGTGATTCTTGAGTATGGTAGTTACTGTTTCACCTTCAGCTGTACTTAAGATGTTTTCCTGGAAAAATTCATTCTGCTTTCTGACCAGGATTTCCAGAAACTCTGACCCTTCTTCTAAGTGGTCTGGGTGGAATTGTGGTGATTCTGCTAGTCGACAGTATAACTTCTGTGTCTACAAAAAGATGATAGACAGTCACTGCTCACATTGGCTTTTTGTGAAAGGCCAAGGATACTGTCCCTATGGCAGAGATGAGGAAGGAACACCAGCTTCCTCCAACTCTTCTGTTCCTCCTTTGGGTTAATGGCCACTGTAAGGAAACAGTTTTCTGCCAGGTGTGGGGTGATTTGAATGTAAAATGCCCAACTCTTATAGCAGGTTGAACAGAAACATTTTTTTTTTTTTTTTTGACGGAGTTTCACTCTTGTTGCCCAGGCTGGAGTGCAATGGCGCGATCTCAGCTCACAGCAACCTCCGCTTCCTCAGCTCAAGCGATTCTCCTGCCTCAGCCTCCCAAGTAGCTGGGATTACAGGCATGCACCACCATGCCCCGCTAATTTTGTATTTTTTTAGTAGAGAGGGTTTCTCCATGTTGGTCAGGGTGGTCTCGAACTCCCGACCTCAGGTGATCCGCCCGCCTTGGCCTCCCAAAGTGCTGGGATTACAGGCATGAGCCACCACGCCGAGTGAAACATTTTTTATACTCATTGTTCCTTTGTTCTAATCTAAATTACTTTTAGACTATTAAATATTATTCTATTTTGAAGTTAAGGGACTAATGCCTATGATAATCTGATAAACTTTCTGATACTCAGAAGTTAAGATTTATTCAGTTGAAGATCATTTTTTTCAGGTGTTGATCATGTGATATTTTTCATATCTGTAATCTGAGGTTCATATGAAATGATAGTGAAATAAAATTATTCATTTAGGTCTTTTTGTCATGTTAATAGGTTATCATGTTAATGGGAAGTTTAGTTAATGTAAAATTAATAAAATGTAATCTAGTGTATTGCTTTTTTGGAAAAGAAGAATACTGAAGATATTGTTTACTTAATACACATGACCTGAGGTAGTAAAGAGGAGCTAGCCTTTTTCTCAAAAGGGGGGGAAAAATGGCAGTGAATAATATTATCTAAGACAGTTTTGCCAGCTTTAAATTGCTGGAAGTTCACCCAGGAAGTCCTGATCCCTGTGTTCAGTAAAATCATGTAAGATCAAAATATAATTCTAATTTTAGATCTGACAAATTCTGTATCTCTGTTACAATAGGTACGGCAACAATTCCATGATGCCAAATTCATGGCAGACATTGATCTGGATCCAGGTTGTACATTGAATAAGAAGATTCGAAATGCACAGTTAGCACAGTATAACTTCATTTTAGGTAAGAATGGAAACTTAACAAAGAAAATTTGCCAGACATCAGGAAAATCTACTGAAACCTTGAGACAGACTTAAGTGAATTGTAATCAAGAATTTAGTTCCTTCCAGTCCTGATTTTTTTCTATTATATATTTTAATACATAATAACTATAAAAATAGGCTCATGCATACATACTGGTTTTTTTGGTTGTTTTTTTTTTTCACTTAAATAATCATGGATGTTTGTGAAAAAATATTTTGCTATTATATCAAGGATGAAGACACATTGTTTTAAATACATCTGTTTGATTACTTTCTCAAGATAATTCCTCATGTGGAATTACTTGAAAAAGATATTCATGATGTTTAGGGTTTTATTATTATTTTAAGTTGTCTAGATTGACTCAATAAGCACAGTAGTAGTTTTAGATATTGCAAAGAGTTTCTTTTAAATATTAATACATGGTCACTTGTACCTTTTAATGTGTCAGAAGCTATGGGGTAGCTTTTGGGTCCTAGGATCATTTCTTTTCAGATGTTCAGTGTGAATCCTTCCATATCTTAGATTAAGTCTGACAAAGCTTTGTGTATTTGTTTTAGTTGTTGGTGAAAAAGAGAAAATCAGTGGCACTGTTAATATCCGCACAAGAGACAATAAGGTCCACGGGGAACGCACCATTTCTGAAACTATGGAGCGGCTACAGCAGCTCAAGGAGTACCGCAGCAAACAGGCAGAAGAAGAATTTTAATAAAAAAATTGCCCAGATTGGCCCCATGGAAAAGGAGGAGCAGTGTTTCCATAACATTGACTTTATACTCTGAAATTGTCAATTTATGTTGAACTTGAAGGAGCTTGGCAGAGTCCGAGTAGGTCAACCTGCAGGCGTAACTATTTTTGACCTAGTCAGTTTTTAAACAATGTGCATTTGAAGGAGTTAATTAAAAGAGCCAATAAAATGATTTTACTCATTCAGTATCTGAGTACTGGAAATGCTTTAGTATAATGAGGAAGAACTTTTTTGTAAATTTAATGCAATTGAAAAAGTTTTAAATTCAATTAAGGTAACTAGAATTGGATTATGGTATAAAAAAAAAATTATTCATATCAGTTTCAAGACTGCTCTGTGAGTCAATTCTTAATAAATTTCCTTTCATATATACATATATCCTGTTCTGTGCCTCTGGAGAACCCTGACTAACACACATGGGTCACTTCAAAGAGAAGCTAATTTGCATAGATTAATTTTCACTTTAATAAAGGAACTAAGATCTTTAATCATAGAGGGGTTTTCTTTTGAAACTTTGTAATTAAGCCTTGCTTCCAAATAGCTTCAAAATTAGCTTTTGATAGAGTTGTAATTTTTATGTGTCTGAAGGAAATTTAATTTTATACTTAAACCAGACTCAACATTTAGAGAAGCTTTACAAATCGTTCAAAACTTGGGATAAAAAAATATAATAAAGGCATAGTTTAGTGGGACTGGAAATCAAAGGTTTCTTTTGATCTTAACTAACACCTACTTAGCTTAGTCCTCACTTCTAGTGGAATCATTAGAGGGCCACTGTCTTGATGGGAGGGTTCTTGTGTTTGTTTGTTTGTTTGTTTTTTTTTTTTGAGAAAGGGTCTTGCTCTGTCACCAAAGCTGGAGAGCAGTGGCACAATCAGGGCTCACTGTTGCTTTGAACTCCCGGGTTCAAGTGGTCTCCCACACGGCAGCCTCCCATGTACCTGAGACTGCAGGTACATGCCACCACACTTGGCTAACTTTTAATTTTTTTATTTCTTGTAGAGATGAGGTTCTTACTATGTTGCCCAGGCTGGTCTCAAAGTCGTTGGCTCAAGCAGTCTTCCTGCCTCAGCCCCCCAAAGTGCTGTGATTACAGGTGTGAGCCACGACACCCAGGGACCACTCTCTAAGAGCGATTATAATTGTGGGTTTACCCCATCAAAGCTCTTATCTGTAATTTTATTTTCTTTCCTTTCCTGGAGAGCAGAGACTGGTCTACTTACAGTTCTTCATTCATCTGTTCTGTCATATAACTTGAAGATTTGAAAGAACCCAATTGTTAAGCTTTCTTGAGCATCTAATCTATTGTGAGTTATATGGTCTTGGTAATTAAATAAACAGGAACAATTTGAGAAAAATAATACGTGCAACTGCCATGTGACAAAATCTGTAAAGATAGATTTTGTGAAGTAAAGAGGTCAAACTCAAACCAGATTGTCACAAAAGTGATGATCAGGGCAGGAAATTTGGGAAACAAGAAGATTTAGACTTGCCAGAAATACAGAGCAGTGATGTTAAGAAGGTATAAGGGAAAAGGGTGAAGTTACCTCAAATGATGGGCTGAGTTCAGAATCTTGTGTACTTATGAATCTTGTTTCAGTTCCTCACCTTTACTACAGCGATAGACACCTGCACCTCATCTCAGGTCCCCTGCTCTGTGACTAGTAGACAAAGGCTTCTCAAATGACAACGGCCATATGAATCACCAGGAGATGGCGTTAAAATGCAGGCTGATTCTGTAGGTCTGGGCTGGATTGGAGACACTGCATTAACAAGCTCCCAGCTGATGTTGAGAAATATACTTTGAATAGAAGGCTCTCATCCCCACTCTGTCCTTATTCTGTTCTGCCTTTAAAAAAAAAAGAAGATCAAATAGGGAAAAAAGGCTTATAAGGAAACCAACTTTTTGTCCTTTTGACCTCCATCTCTCTTACTCTTACTGAGGCAACCACTTTCAGACACGCTGGTGTATATCTCTTTTCCTATCTCTAAATACTATTGCAATCTCATTATTTTTAATAGAGATGCCCAGGCCACAATGTGGTGGCTCATAGCTCACTGCAACCTCGAACTCCTAGCTCAAGTGGCCCTCCTGCCTCAGCCTCCCAAGTAGCTGGGACTACAGGTATATACCACTATGCCTGGCTAATTTTTTTGACTTTTTATTTATAGAGATGGGATCTCCCTGTATTGTCCAGGCCAGTGTTGAACTCCTGGCCTCAAATGATCTTCCCACTTCAGCCCCCAACATAGTTGGGATTACAGGAGTGAGCCACCACGCCTGATTGTTGCTGTCTCTTTTCATTACTCTTTTTTTTTTTTTTGAGACGGAGTCTCCTCTGTCGCCCAGGCTGGAGTGCAGTGGTGCGGTCTCGGCTCACTGCAAGCTCCACCCTCCTGTTCACGCCATTCTTTGCCTCAGCCTCCAAGCCTACAGGTTGCCCGCCACCAGGCCCAGCTAATTTTTTGTATTTTTAGTAGAGGACAGGGTTTCCCGGTGGTCTCGATCTCCTGACTTGTGATTCGCCTGCCTCGCCTCCAAAGTGCTGGGGATTACAGGCGTGAGCCCACCGCGCCCAGCCTTCATACTCTTAGAACCCCTCCTTAACTTCCTGTTTCAGAAATGAGGAATTTATTTCACAATCCATTTCTTCCCTTCATCCTTTTAATGGTCATATCTAACTTTGTTGTGAAAATCCGTATTTGGTGTCTTTGTTATTATGACCATAAATGTATTGCTCTAATAAGCCACATAGTATTCTATATTCATTTTTTTTAGTACTTTTCATGATTGTGGTTATTGTAGTTGGTAATTATTCTTTCTTTAAAATGTTTTCTTTAGGCCAGGCATGGTGGTCCTGTCTGTAATCCCAGCACTTTGGGAGACCAAAGTGGGTGGATCACTTGAGGCCAGGAGTTCAGACCAGCCTGGCCAACTGGGAATCCTTTGTCTCTACCCAAAATATAAAATTAGCCAGGCCATGGTGGCACATGTTCTGTAACCCCAGCTACTGGAGGGCTGAGGCAGGAGAATCGCTTGGACCTAGGGGCGAAAGTTGCAGTGAGCCAAGATTATGCCACTTCACTCCCGCCATGGGTGACAGAGTGGAGCCCTGTCTCAAAAATAAAAAATAGGGCGGGCGCGGTGGCTCAAGCCTGGAATCCAGCACTTCGGGAGGGGCGAGACGCGCGGATCACCGAGGTCAGGAGATCGAGCGACCATCCTGGCTAACATGTGAAACCCCATCTCTATAATAAATACAAGAAACCAGCCAGCCGAGGTGGGCCGGCGCTGTAGTCCCAGCTACTCAGGAGGCTGAGGTAGGAGAATGGCGGTAAACCTGGAAGGCGGGAGCTTGCAGTGAGCTGAGATCCGGCCCACTGCACTCCAGCCTGGGCGACAGAACGAGACTCCATCTCAAAAAAATAAATAAATAAAAAATGTTTTCTTTGGCTGGGTGCAATGGCTCACTTCTATAATCCCAGCACTTTGGGAGGCCAAGGTGGGCAAATTGCTCGAGCTCAGGAGTTCGAGACCAGCCTGGGCAACATGGCAAAAACCCATCTCTACCAAAAATACAAAAAAATTAGCCAGGCATGGTAGCATGCACCTGTAGTCCCAGCTATTCAGGGGGCTGAGGTGGGAGGATTGCTTGGACCCAGGAGATGGAGGTGGCAATGAGCTGAGATCATGCCTCTGTACTCCAGCCTGGGCACAAGATCCTGTTTGGAAAAAAATAAAAAATAAAATAAAGTAAAATGTTTTATTTGTGGCTGGGCACAGTGGCTCGTGCCTGTAATCCCAGAACTTTGGGAGGCTGAAGTAGGAGGGTTGCTTGAGGCTGGGAGTTCAAGACCATCCCAGGCAACAATAATTTTTTTCTTAACACTTGGAAGAAATTGCCCCCATTTTCCTCGGCCTTCCTGGGTTTTGATGAGGAAGCCGTTTTTATTTTCATATCTTTGTATGCCACCAGTCATTTTTTTTCTCTGAAAGATTTAGATCTCTTTTCTTGGGCCTAATATTCTCAAATATCATGACTGTGCCAGTCTTTTGCCTTCCGTTGTGGTGAGCAGTCTTCATTCTGGAGACTTGGATCTTTCAGTTCTAAATACTTTTGATTTACTCTTTGGTGGTTTCCTTCCCTACCATGTTCTGTTCTTAATGGGCCTTCTATTATTTAGGTGTTCTATTTTAAGGGAGATTTTCTTAACTTTCTCTTCCCATTTATTCTATTGTGTTTTAAAAGTTTTCAATGTTGCTGTTTATATATCAAAGCATCCTGTTTTTGTTACTTGGATCGGATTTATTTCCTTAGATCATTCATTTGAATCACACTGAAGTTTTATTCAGCATGCTGCATTATCTTTATTTCTTTTGTTCATTTATAATTTGGTCTCTATTTCATATTGTAAGCATGCCTTGAGGACAAACAGCCTTGCTAGTTGTTACGCCTCCTGCCATTTGCAGGTGCTTAAATTTGACCTTCATTCTGTCTATTGCATCATCTTCTGATGCCCCATTCACTTTCCATCTTGTAAACCAAAAACAAAATTCTAACCACCCCCCTCTAGTCAACTGAATGGACCCCTCCTCTCAGCGAAGGGCATTCCAAAGTTAACCTGAAAACTGAGTTGATGATGAGAAGGGGATTCAGACATGCCTGATTATACCCTCCTCCCTTTGGAATTCAGGCACAACTGACCTGCATTAACATTAAAACAGAGACCTTAACGACTGATAAAACAATTTCTCTAGCAATAAGACACCAAGATGACAGGAGGCCCTGAAAGAAATTATTTTACCCGAAAAATTTATTTCTTTGACATTATTTTCCAATGGTCCTGCAAAACTGTCTGATAAGGGAAAATCTACATTCTATAGAGAATCCCCTTCCCTTTTCAGGTCTTTAATCCCAGAGAATTAAGAGTCTGGCACCTTTTTAAGTCTTATGAGAAAAATTTGCCGTCTGTTCTCTCTGAAGCCTGCTACTTGGAGTCTTTGTCTATTATACGTAAGAAGAGCCTTGATCTCCACAACCCCTTGTCTTAATCCAGACACTCATTTCTATTGATTCCAGGTTTTTAGATAATAACTCTTTCAACCAATTGCCAATCAGAAAATCTTTAAATCACCTACAGCCTGGAAGCCCTCATTTGGCATTTTTCTCTCTTTCCAGACTGAACCAATGTACATCTTAAATGTATTGATTGATGTCTTATGTCTCCCTAAGATGTATAAAATCAAGCTGGAGCCTGACTACCTTGGGTACATATTCTCAAGATCTCCTGGGGCTGTGTTTTGGGGCAGGGTCACT